TAAGTAATATTTAAATATATTAATGTGAAATACATTATAAATATATATTCTTTAATTGTAGAAATTATTTTTTTTTAAATTAATTATTTTATTTTTTGTGTTCTTTAATAAATCAAATTCCAATTCATAATTTTATTTATTATCATGAATTTAACAATTTGTTTCCTTAAATAAATATTATAAAATAAATTATAGATTTGAATAAATTGTTGCCATCATTGAAAAAAAATGTAACAAACTTAAAGATGTAACAAACAAAATAAAAAGAAGGTCTCTATTTATTATCACTAGATATAAGTATTATCGAATAAGAGTCTTTATTAAAGAATAGTAATTCACATTTAAATGTACCTATTCAAGAATCAATATATATTTGACATATCTGTCAAAGATAGCAAAAAATTAGGATATTTTTAATTATATTATTATAACATGGAAACTGTTAATGAAAATGCTTACGATGATTATTATTTAGAATTATCGTCCGATCCAATTAAATTTGAATCGGTCAGTTCTCTGACAAATGTTTTTTTTGATGATTCGAAACAACAGGTTAGAAATTAATTTTTCTCGTTTATTTATTTTCTAATATAATTTAGTTGATAAATGAAATTTATTCAAATTCCAGGTATTTGCTGTTCGATCAGGCGGTGTAACAGGTGTATCTGTCAAAGGACCAAATCAAAATATAAATTTCCGAATGGAAGATAAAGGTCCAGTAATCTCTATTAAATTTGCTCCTGATATGAATATATTGGCGATACAACACAATAATTCTTCAGTTGAATTTATAAATTATTCACCAGTTGTTGGACTTGATAACATAGAATATTCACAATCGTGTAAAGGAAAAAATGCCACTATATTGGGATTTGTTTGGACACATGGAAATGAAATATTACTCGTTACTGATTATGGTGTTGAGTTGTTTCAAGTAAAAAAAAAAAAGTTTAAATAAATATTTTATATATAATATGCGATTAATATTATCAATGTGAATATAATTTGTGACCACATATATACAAATTATATAAAAATATTTAATTTTAGGTAAATCCAGAAAAACGAAACGTTAAAGTTTTGAAGTGTTTAAGTTTAGGCGTAAATTGGTTTGTATTTTGTCCACAAAGTTATCTAGTATTATTATCATCTGGTACAATAGGAAATCAAATGCAGACATTGCATGTAACACCTGGAAATCTTCATAAATTAACAAAATTTGAAGGCAAGAAAAGATATTTTATGATCAAGATCAATATGCAGAAGAATATTTTATTAATAATAATAAATAATAATAAATAATATTAATAATATATTAAAATTATATTAGTGGAAGCTGGTACAGCAAAACCAGGAAAATTGACTGTTTATGAGAGAGATGTAGCATTGGCAGTTTTATATGGGACACCATGCATAATTTTGTTACGTCATCAACCAGGTGCTAATCGTTCTACTGGAACTGCTTCTGTATATGTCTACACTGTGCATAAGTATGTTTTTTTTAATTAAAACTTATTTGTATATATCTATTATATTTTATATATATTTTTTATTTTTTTTTATATTTTTAAATAGAATGACAACAATCAGAAAGAGTCATATCTTAAAACTTGATGTAAGTGGTAAATTTGCCATTAATGTTGTAGATAATCTTATTATCGTTCATCATCAAACTACGAAAGTAAGTAAAATAATATATATTATCGTGTAAACGATAAAGTTTTTGAAATAACGAAGATAACTGCAACATTTCAGTCTTCTACATGCGCATATTTTTTTTAGACTTCCATGATTTTCGATATTATGTTACCGGGTATAAGCGACGGTACGGTAATGCATCATACTAGCGTAGCACCTGCAAAACCTATTAAACCATATAGTTTGAAAGTTCCAGGAACAACTTTATCAAATGAAACTTATCAATCGTGCCAATTATGTATCCTTAACTAGGAGAAAATGCATTGTGATAGAATATATCTAACTTTTTTATTTTATTATCTTATATTTTTTCTCAATATATATTCAATCAATAGATTCACCAAATTGGGTTGTTTTCCAGCCAAACATAATAATCGATGCAAAATTAGGTTGTCTTTGGTAAGTAAAGTCCATTCTTATTATATCATTAAATTTTTTTCTTCTTTATATACATAGTAAAATGAAATTTATAAAATTTACTATATTTTTAACAATTTTATCTTACTATCTTATACAGGTACATTGAATTAAAATTGGAATCTTTAGTAAAACTCATTACAGATAAAGTTTTATTAGTCGAATTTTTAATGCAACGAACAAACACAAAATATATATTGATACATGTGTTACAAAATTTTATGATGCAATTGCCTATTAGTTTAATGGATATGCCGATTATATTTGATAAATTGAATTCTGTATATAGAAATTATCTTGAAGATGAAATACAAAATCAGGTGATCATGTAAATTTCTTTCTCTTGTTTTAATAATATTTTTTAATTAATTTAATTAATGATTTTCATTGATTATATATAATGGTCACACAGATGGGTACCCCGTTACAAAACACCGTGAAAAACCAAAGCATGGTAGTAGAAAATTATAAATATAAATTGTTATTAAATCAAAGCGATGTATATAGTTATATTTTATCGAAATTTCCTGAAAACACGATTGAACCAAAAATGATTGTTTGGATTCTTCTAGAATATATCAGGTATCTATTCTCTCTCTTTTTCTCTCTGAATATTAAAAAAAAATTAATAATTAATTATAAACACATATCTTAAAATAAATAATATTGATTACATTTGTTTATGTTTTTCGTTTTAGATCATTAGCGGAACATGGTATACCCGTACAGCATTATTTACACGAATTAGTTATTACAACATTAGTTCAACGTAAAGCATATTACCAATTGCATCAGTTGTTACAATATCATGTAGTTGCAGATTCAAAACCTTTGGCGTGCTTATTACTTTCTTTAGAAAATCTATATCCAGCAGCTCATCAACTTGCTTTAGATATGCTGAAACGATTAGGAAATGCTCATGAAGAAATAATTGAAGTACTTTTATCAAAAGGATATATTTTACCAGCATTACGGTAAATATTAAACACTTGTTTATATATACATATAATTTTTTTATATATTATATATTTTGTCGATTATTTGAGATTAATTTATTTAATTTTTTCTTCCATTTGCCAATTATAGTTATATTCGATCAGTTGGAATGGTAGATCAAATATCCGATAGAAAATTTCTGGAAGCAGCAAAAGCAACAGGAGATGCAACGCTTTTTTATTCAGTTTTCAAATTTTTTAAACAACGTAATTTACATTTATGCAATGCTACAACTTTTACAAAAGGAGAACGTTATCAACCATATATTCAACATTATAAATATTTGTTCGAAGGAATAGACAATGATTGTAATTCAGACACAAATTCTAATGTTACTACAATTTCTTAATAAACGATCTTTTTTTTGTTTGTTTTTAATTTTTTTTTTTTTTTTTGAAATAATGTAATTTGATTCTATCGTAAACATCAAGATATGTATTTAAAGTTACCTATTAGAATGTTGTTCAGCTATTTTCATATTTATTTCACATTCTATAATTCCATCTTTTTGTAAAATATATTTATATTATACATACATTACATATGTGTATATATATATATACTTATTTAATATTTATACATATTTATACATATATTGATTGTAATATTTAACATTATTTATGCAAATGCAGTCTGTTTAAAAATTATATCATAATAATATTTATATTTTTTGTTTTTGCAAAGACATTTGCAATAATATTTGCAATAAATTTTTTGTATTCATGTTGTTTGCATCATTGTATCAATAGGAAACACGATATATAATACATGATTCACGATAGATACGAAACATGCATAATTATATGTATATAAGTATTTACGTTCGAATCTAAAAACAAAGAAAAGTTTTAAAAATATTTAATAAAAATATTTTTTTTCATTATTTATATATTTAATGATTCGATTGAATCGTTGAATTGTTTAGTAAGTGCAAAAAATTTACATATGCTTGATGAATAAGTTGTAATGGAATCATTAAAATCATTAAATTCAATTTAATATGAATATTGAAATGTTTATTTTATACATATATATGCATTTAAATTTCACATACACGTGTGCGCACATACATACACATGCACGCACGCAATAATATAGTATTCAAAACAATTGCATAAACGAACAATTGCTAGATGTTTTAAGAATAAATATTAACATACAAACGGACGGATTGGATCAGTATAGATCCAAAATAAAAACAAATAAAAAATAAGAAATATATAGGAATGATGAATTAGCAAGAAGATTGGAAAAAGATGATCAAGTTTTGGTTGGTCCACTTTATATTTTTTCCCAAAGAATGATTAAATAATTGAAAAATGAAAATATAAAATATTAATCGTATTTTTTATAAATACGTTATTAAAACTGGAAATGTTTGGTCCTTTCTTTAATCATCAACGCGTTATTACGACCGAAATGGATAAAATCTTTCATCAATATTTTTGTATTGTTTATATAAGATTGATGTTATTTAATACGTTATTTAATGTATTAAGATATCGAAAAAATTATTGTTCATAAAATACGATTGAATGTGTCCAAATTAAGAATATTCTTGATTCATAACATTATAATATCATTTAACAAATTTTGTTGATTATTAATGATAATGAGTTAAATAATTATATGTAAAAAATGTTATTAAGAAAGGAAAGAGGTAGATAAATAGAACGAGTGATAAAATAGATAATGAAAATAGATAAACAATATATATATATATATATATATATATAGAGAGAGAGAGAGAGAGAGAGAGAGAGAGA